AGAAGTCCTGGTCGACCAGAAATTGTGAATGATTGGCGTCGAGAAGATAGATTTGGAAATGGGAGTCGAAGTGATGATCGTAGAATATCTGATGGAGATTCTAAAGTGGAAGGAAAATCACCTGAACGACCAAGAGATCTAAATTCATCCAGTCCCCCTATTGTACGGCCTGTTAGAGAGATTTTGGGGGAGAACACAATACCTCTCCGTATAATTGAACCTCCAAAAGCTAACAGTGCTAGAGCTACTGATAGCTTTGTGCATACACAGGTGATGATGCTTCTCATCTGAATCATCTTGGTGTTAAAATATGGTCTTCCCAAAGTATTCATTTTGTGATTGAAACATTTGATGGTTTTTTAATGCATATTCCTCTATTACACTGTTTTCATTTACATGTGAGACCAATATAATGTTTCAGCCATTATATGTAAAAGAGCTGCTAGTGCCTGTGGATGCATATTTAGTCACAATCCACGTGATTGTGATCCCCTGCATGTCTGCAATTTTAATCTGTATTTCCGAACTTTAGTGGTAAAAAATCTGCAGGAGTATTTTCTTGTCTGATTATTCAGTTCACTTTATGATTAAATTGGCTTGAACTAATACATTGCTGGTTTGCATTATGTTTAGTTACTTTGAGTTTAATTGCTGCTCATTATTCTCATAAGTTTGTCTAAACAAGTATAGATGCTCTATTTCTACTATTTTTTATGTTTGCATTTTTTGCTTGCTTGATTTAGCATGTCTTCATGTCAGCTTACCGTAATGCTCCACACTTTCCCGTAGTGATATCTGTGTTAGTTATGTTACATAGAAGATGATCGCATAGTGTATTTGTTTGGTAATTTTGTCTTTTCATTATCATTCCCAAAATAATATAGTAAAGTTGCTTTTATACTCTTTTTTTAAATAATTTCAGAGAAATGTGTCGTCCAGCAGCTTGGCCTCCTCTAATGGGAACCCAGTGGAAGTGAAGCCGGAGACTTCTGGAAGTTTAATTGATTTTGATGCTGATATTGAACCTACTCCAGCTGCTGCAGTTGCTCAAGCGCAACAACCTACTGTAGCTCAATCCTTCCCACAGCCAGCAAATTCAACCAATGACAACAATTGGGCCTCTTTTGATGTTGCTCCAGCAGTGACAGTACCTCAAGCTCCTGCGAATGTGAATTCATTAGAATCTCTACTATCACAATTATCAGTTTCAGCACCTGTCCCTAGTTATACTTCTGGGACTGCTGGTAATATTGGTGCTCCCACAGTTGCACCAGTAAGCAGCTTGTCAACATTTCCCCCTGTTGGTGCTCCGGTTCCTGCCCCCGGATCTCAAGCATTCCCAGTAAATGGTGGTAATTTCCAAGTTAAAGATGCTGCTTCTGGCCAATGGCCTACCATGCAGCAACATCAACCTTCATTATACCCTGTTGCTGGTATTCAACCTGCTGCACAACAATACATGCCTTCTGTCGATGGAACTTCGACTATTGCATCACAATCGTCAGCTGGGGATGCAAAATCTACTGGAAGAAGAGAACTTCCTGCGGTAATTGTACTTTTTATTGGCTTTGCTGTCATCATCATAATATATAAGCTAGATGTACTTTTTGGTCCTGTAGTTTAAACCCAATTCCTCTTTAACCCTTGTTCTAATTTAAACTAGTTTACTCTGTAGTTGCTAGCATTTTTGTTTTACATTTTGTCACACAGAGAAAATGTGAATTTTTGCACTAATTTCTCCAAAATCCAATATCAGTGTGACCAATGCAACAAATGTGGAATTGAGACTTTCTGAAATGTGAACTTTACGTATAGAAACTCTTCAATTTTCCATCAACCATGTGACAAAAGTGAAAATTTGGTCGCATTGAAAATGTTGCAAACTATAAGGGTAAATTTGTTGAGGTTACACTACAGGGACCAAAGTGCAGTGACCTAAACTTTAGGGACAATATCGATTATATATGTATGTACGCATGTATTTGATTAAATCTGAATTGATTGCAGGATATTTTTGCAATGAACTATTCATCCTTTCCTGCACCAGTTCCTGGATGGCAAACTGGTCCTCGTGGTATGGGGTTTCCTATGCCATATAACACTGCAGTGGTATTGTCTCTCAATTTGACATTTTAAAGATAATGAGTTGGTCATCTTCACAAAATGACTGGTATAAACCATTTCTTAAACTTGTTGTATTTGAATCTCTGTTTATAGCCCATGCCCAATTATCAGCAGTCTTCAAAGTCAGCAAACCCATTTGATGTAAACCGTGAACCTCAAATACAAGCCTCAGCGGTATGTGATTTCAATTCATCTTAAGTTATCCTAATTAATGCACCTCTACTTTTTTGGTGGTATTTTATATTGTTATTTGACAAATCTGTAAAAGAATATATGATGACATGCATGTTTGCTGAACTTGTGAATTTCGTATGGTTTATCAATCCGTTAGAAGATTGAGTAGACTTGGAAAGGGAAGTTTGAGTAAGAAGTAGAACTATAACAGGAAGGTTGTATCACTATTAAATTCAAGAGTGAGGAAATACTTTATTTCAATAAATTTAGCAAACTTAAAGGTGGCTGGAATCGCTTGCTTGTGTTAGTTTGATGTACATTATTGGCCAATTCTTTAACAACATAAATCTTGTGGTTGTCTATATATAATACTGGAAGAGTTTGAAATCTTGAATCCTCATTCCTTATTCTTATCCGAAACAGAACAAGTTTTACGTCCCGTGGTTGTTTAGATAGATTGACTTTTAGTTTGCTCAAATCAATGACTCACCAGAAAACATACTTTATTAGTTGAAATCAGGACTTAAGCATTTGTTTTTAGCTGTATATGTTCTTGATATCTCATCAATTGATGCATCTATTTGAGCTTCTTTGATGTGTTTTCTGTTGATGCAGTTTCCTTCCTTGCAAGCTCCCCTACCAAATGCCCAGCCTTTATCCCCATCGGGTTTAATGCGCATGTCCAACCTTGGTGCTCCCTCGTCAGCATGGATACCCCTCCAATCATCACCATATTCATCAGCGGTGCCTCCCCAAGCACCACAATATGCATCACAAGTGCCTCTCCAAGCACCACAATATGCATCACAAGTGCCTCCACAGCCACCACAATTTGCATCACAAGTGCCTCCACAGCCACCACAATTTGCATCACAGATGCCACCAAGTAAAATATTGCTGCTTTTTCCCCTTTTTTTTTTCATCAAGTAAATAGTGAAAGGTGTGTGGATAGCACACCCCTTTTTACTTTTATCACACATCTTGTTATTTTCCGTCCTTTGATCTTCTTCAATTCATCCAATCCGACAGCCGAAAATTAGAACGGTGTGTGAGAAGTAAAAATGAGTGTGGATAGCACACCCATTTCTTTATTAGAAATGAGTGCCTAATTGTGGTTTGATAATCTCAGGGGCCTACATGGTGCAACAAGTTCCGAGTAGCATCCCACCTTCCGGGTAACCATAAGTTTGAGTTTTTTTATTTTTATTTACTATCTAAAATTAGTAGTTGCTCTAAGATTCTCTGGTTCTTCTACTTTACTAGCTGTCCTCATAGTTTCACAAATGCGGGGTGTTATATCCCCAATTGGAACATAAGACTTTCTTGCTTTTCTGAATATAAATTCTGCATATGTTGAGTCCCCAAAAAAATAAATACGCGTGTGAAAAATTTTGAGTGATTTATATATTTTGATGAGATTATTTGTTAATTGTGATTTCCCTAACCTATTTTTCCTACTTGTAGGTATCAATGGGCAGGAGGCTTTGGCACCGATGGGGCTTCTTTTGGTTCATTAAATATGGATCAACAGCTGGCAGGTAGATTCTCAGCGGCCGCTACCCCAAATCCTTTCTCTTCAACGGGAGGAAATCCATTTGGGTAGATGAAAAAACACAAGATGTCTCCAATCCCATGTAGGGTAAGCATCGTCTTGCTGCTCCCGCTGCCCATCAAATTGCTGGATGGAAAGTTTTGGTTTCTATCTCTGTAGTTTTTAAGTTATCCGATGCAGCCTAATGCGAGATTGTTCTGTTGGATCATCACCGGGGGTCACAAGTCAAAAGGTCGACTTCCCGTCATGTACAATTTGTTTGTTGTTCGTAAGAGAGAGAGAGAGAGAGAGAGAGAGAGAGAGAGAGAGAGAGAGTATAGTTAAGAGGGGGATTAAGTTGTAGAGTTTGCTTCAATAGGGACCCTAGGTATCTTCTTTTTTCTAGCCAAGGTGTTACTTTTTTCCTTTTTAATTTTCTTCGCCTACTTTGTTGTATGATGTTGCATCTCATTATTCTGCTGTGAGCTCATCGAGTCTAAGGAAGTTGGTGGAACAGTAACAATGATTTTACAGTGAATGCAGTTTGTACGTTAATACGATCGTCGATCAAGTGGTGGGATTATTTTCCGATACGTTATTTTCCGGTTTTGCCTTTGGTTCTCTGTTTTCAGTAACGTTGCAGCTTCGGGTTTTTCTTTTGGTTTCTTGGCTTCCAAGTTACTTAACGTCAAATTTAGGCGGACAATATTATTTGGTTTTTCTGTTAATTACTCGGTAATTATCACTGCTTAATTAACATGCTAACCTTTGTATAAAAACTAAAAAAACATTTTTACTTCCGTGATGTTTTGTATCAATGTACACGTGGAGAGGAATTCAAAATTTTATTATTGACACGGAATGTTATGCTGGTGGTGTACCCGTGCCCAGAGCCAGAAGTCAGAGTAGCTAAATCAGTCCTCAACTGCAAGAGAACCAATTGGCAATTTGGTATGGTATTGAACATAACAAACGACCTCTTGGGGTCAATTCGTGAAGAGCAAATATAGCCTACTCCGATGCGTACAGATCCCTTCTTGTTGGACGTACGATCTTCATAGACATCGTGAGCTCAGGTGTAGCCAAATTGCTTTACACATTGCGCCTCTTTTTGCACTCTAATTCGAATTTCCTCTCTATAACTGTAAACCGTTGGAATATGCGTCAAACATTTCAACAACCAATCCGGACCTCAAAAAGATAAAGAAACTTTCCGAGGACCCAAATTATATTTTCTTTTTCAATATTATAACAAATAATAACATGCTATATATGGAGAAGAAAGTGTTGTGAATTCACAACACTATATGGTATTTTGGGTAGGAGGACTTAAAATGCTTCTAAGTATTGGGTAACTTGTACATATTTTTCTTTCCCTCCTTAATCTTCACACAGTAGGAATTGGAAGTTGCAGTCTGTTCATCGGTGTAAAGTGCTGGCGGCGCTGCTGCCCATGGTGGCCTGAGGAGGCTCTTCTAGAGTACGGGCCGAATTTTGATCCTCGAGGCCGATGCTTGGACACTCCCATATGTACAACCGATGACTGGGGCAAGATGTAGAAATAAACTTGCTCAACTTAAGCGGATTCCGCCGTTTGTCTGTTCTTCCATATGATTGGAGCCACCAGTATCCATACTGCAAAACGTAAAAGTTTCGTCTCAATCGAAATCCAGAAAAACTCAAATGCAGAATCTTGTCATCAATTTGTAACTCAATCGATTTCGTTTTGCGTTCTGTACTCACAATACACGCAGACGGCGATCCACTCGTTCACAATCCTCACCCAAGTGCTGGCCCATCCCACATCAAGTGTAAACCTGCAGAATGAAGAAACTTGTTGAGCAAGCAAGAAAGAAAGGGGCTCAATTTTAATTCACAAAGGTGGCAAAAAATACTTTTTCATGGACTGATGAGTATTCCAACCAATCAGCAGCATTGCAAAGTACATTGCTCCGGTGGCAAAAACGAAATGGAAGAATCCATAACCATATGGAACATCATCCTCGGATACAGGCTCGTCCTTCCTGAACTGCAGATGTTGTCAGGCGCATTCTAAATGAAATATAGGTGATCGATTAAAAGTTATTCAGACGGTGGAGCAAACCTGAAAGCATTTGGAATCTATGCCGGTTGAGAATGTCGCGATAACCATTGCAAGCACGGCTATAACGAAGCTCTGTCAACAAATAAGTCATTGTCACAAGTTTGTGTAGGAGAAAAGAAACCATCTGTGAGCAATATTAAGAGCAGAGTATTACTATGATGGTGAGCCAATCTGTTTTGGTTGAATCCTCTGCCTTCTTGTTGCAACTTGTCCCCGCTGGTTCACTGCACTCGAAGGCAACAATTATGTATCAACGGAATTCACAAATATAACCAGAGTCACACGGTGGTGATCAACTATATGCATGATTGTAGATATTGAAAGATTATGCAGCAATGCCATATAACATCTGTGAAATCTCAAATTGCACTAGCAAAACTTAAAACCGTACCTTCTAATAGCAAACCAGCAGATGAATACTATATAGAGCCCCATGAGACCCGGAGTCAAGATGCCGGCATTCACCTGTTCCGGGTGGAAATTAGCCAGCAAAACCACATTAAAACAAGGTTGAAAACCCGAAGGCAGGGTGATTAGCGGAACTTACATTCGGGTGGAGAGAGACACTGGTCATGAGTTGCAGTAGTACTAATGTCCAGGTAATGAAGAAAATGTTGAGGAGGCAAGTTGGTTCTGGTGCATACCATATGTACATCAATATGATCCCCACTAAGCATACAACATGTGCAGTAGTTGCAAGTAACATCACATAAATCCGGCTGCAGTGAAAACCTAAATTTAAATTAGCCCAAAATTCCAAGTAACGATATGGCTAGTAGCTACATTGAATTTGTTTCCAATGTCTGCGAAAAATGGAGATCCGATTTAGTTTAAACAAAGTCTTACCATCTTTCTGATTTGGTAGACTGACACCATTCGTTCAGCCACTTAATGAAACAGATTATGCTTATTAGCTGAATCAAGAGAAAAACCCTGATAGAACAATACCAGAACTTGTTAAAAGAATACCCAAGAAACACATTTCGAAAGGTGAAAAGAAAGTGCATAGGGAATAAATGTAACAACATCGAATCATACCCGGCACCAAAATGCGCAATCTCTCCTGCAAAAAGATATGTATCAGGTGCACGAAATTGGGTAGTTTCGAAATGAAAATGCAATTTAAAAGATGAATAGCAAAAAACAGTTTTGGTTTATTGGGCTGACATTACACTAACCATATAGCTGAATGATTTTAGCAGGAAGCACAAAGGGAATGATGATGAAGGAGACCCACATGACAATCTTGGCAGACCACCATCCGGATTGCCACGAATCTCTGGGCTCGTTCAACTTCGATGTGCCAACAGTCGAAAGGAACATTGTGAAATAGAACAACTGATGAAGTATTAAGGTTTTACTTTGATCCACACGTAGACAACTAGAAAAATCATATGAAAGAGTGATGTAGAAGAATCGATGCGTTTATAAGGAATTTGAAAAAGCGTTTACTTCTTCGAATTCAGATGCATAAACAATAGTGAATGGTGTTGCCATTTTTTTTTTAAATCTTCACAGAATTTTGTGTACTACATGATAAACCTCGTCTCATCAATTGAAATAGTCCAGTTCAGACCGAGCCACGCAGAACAAAACAGAAAAAAAGGATACAAAGCAACCCAAGCTCACACGTAGGACTCCTTCTGCACCCAAACAATCCTTCACACCATGACATCCTTTTAATCCTGCACTCAAGCCAAAGGGTTTTAAACATTCTGCACTAATAATGTTTTGATTAACCCACATGTTTAAGATACTAATCATGTTTATCGAATCTATAGCAATGTGTTCATAAGCAAGTAGAGTAGAGGAGAGAAGGCAAATCTTACTCTCCATCTCCGTCAACAAACTGCTTCCATAATCCCGGACAGCCCATGCCATAAGATTTGCTATCAAAAACATGAATCCATAGACATATCTGGCCATCCATGGATTCGAGCCATTGCGAAATTGGCTGAACCATGAATCAACCTTGACTTTGAGTCCACTCCACTGATAGTTTCCAGCTGATCCACCCTCCTCCATTTCTACTCCATTCAACACTTCTTCAAGCTTTCTTCATCAAACAGATTTAAATCAGTGGGGTTTCTCTCTCTAATTGTCGGATTCTCTCACTCTCTTCCCTGCATAGTTGGGAGAAAATCACATGCATTTCATAGGAGATCTATACGTACAGGTACCAAATAGTCAAGACTAACAAATTAAAATAATGGGCTCAAATCTGGTTTGGTATTTAACAACATGGGTTGGTGATAGATTCTGTTCGAGGAGAGCAACTTTTATTGGTGATGAACTCGTTTCATGCAAGTTCTTCTCATGTCTCATAGCCCAAATAAAATGCAATCTTTTCATAAAAAAATGTGATTTAAACGAAACCCGTTTCTACACATGACTAGACGTGCACCAAAATAAAATCTTTTTTTTCCCAAAAAATGCAATCTTTTACCTAAAAATGGAATTTTGGACAAAACCCATCTTCTATATTTCGCTGAAAGGTGTACCAGAATAAGCAAAGACTACCATGCCATACTTGTGTTTGTCACAAATTTCTGCCCAAAAGAAGGAACTTTGGGCACAAATTATGTAAATAAAACACTCAAAAGTGTCAAAGTTCATGGAAAAGGTGTCGACTTTGTTAACAAAAGAAAAAACAGAGAAAAGTGGGATAGAGAGCATTATCCTTGAGGTGGTGGTTAACTTGGCTTGCACTTGGAAACAAAACATTCTCAAGATCACCACAATAACTGGGATGCTTTTTGGTTGAGTGGGTTTTTTTTTTGGTCAGAAGTTTGGTTGAGTGGGCTACAACGACAGAGACGGGCGTTGCACGACAACACCAATACCATAGTTGATGATAGAGAGCTAAAGCATATTCTTCCACAATTCTTATTCTAACGGTCACACTGTCACGTAGTGTTATAATCTGAGTGTTACAGTAACCGACATAATTAATCTATCAAAGACTTTATATATGTTATAAAATGAATGAATTAATAACTCTACATGACAGTGTAACGATGGTTCCGAAAAATGGTTTCATATTCTCTCCTAACCGATGGAGCTTGATTAGAATCAAATGCAGCAGAATAAGCATTAAGCAGGCAGGCCAAATGGATCTACTTGAGAGTTATGGAATGTAGGCGGTGAATATTTTACACGGCTTAGATTTAGAGCACAATGGTAGGACCCACAAGTCCACATATTTGATGAAGCAAGAAAAAAGTAGAAGAATCCTAATTCGATTGATCTGCTCCACTTCCTGGGGAGGATGACGTGGTAGTCCACAGCTCCAAGCTCTCAGATTTTTATTTTTATTTTTATTTTTATTAATTTATTATTTTTATCTCTACTAATTAATAAAACATTCATTTTCAACTAAAACTTTATGAAATTACCAATTTAACCATCTAATTAAAAAAGAAAATGAATAAGAAATATAGGACAAAAATGTAATTTCATACAACCAAATTTTGCTGTTTTTTTTCAAAGCCTCAATTACGTATAATCCTAACATATTAACCTTCTAATTAAAACAGAACATGAATAAGAAATATGAGGCAAAAATGTAATTTCATACAATCAAATTTTGCTGTTTTTTTTTTCAAAGCCTCACCTACGTATAATCCTAACATATCTCTAAAATTAAAAAATTAAAAAAAAAATTCTAACTCCTACATTCTCTATCACTCTTTTCCTCTCTCCTTCTATCTCAAAAAGATAAAAAATTCACACTTTATGTGTGCCGATATGCTAGTATTATTAAGTAGGAGAGCATTTCTTCAACTGCAAGTCTGCAAGGGTGCTCCGTGCCTGAACATCTTCCCACTGAATTCTGCAATTTTGCTCTTAGGACGATTATACCCTCAAATTCTTTACTCTTTTTTTTTTTTTTGGCAAGTTTATGCTAAAGAAATAGCTACTTATGGAGATTTATGTTTTGATAATTAGATGGGGCAACTTGTAATTTGACTCTTTATCACTAATATAATATAAATCTGCATATTTTTTGCTTTAGCCTGTCTCCAAAGAGCACAAAAGGAAGACAACCCAAGAAGGCAAAGTAGAAAAAGGTGCCAGAAAAAAATATTATAAAAAAAAAAAAAAAAAAAAAAAAAAAACTGACTTTACTCTTTGAGAAAAATATTAAACAAGACAAAAAAATCGTGATAATGTGAATATTTATATGATTATATGTATATGCTTCGATTTTGTTTTCCTTCGGTTTCTCACCAACCAAACAGAAATTCCAGCATTTGAGCCTTGTGATCCTCGGAACAGTTTTAAAACTTGAAAGGGGTTCTCACTTCTCAGTTCTATTGCAATTAAATGAATCAAAATTTTGGATTTTGAGAAGAAACAACAGAACCCAGATTAATATCGACTCCAACACACAGAAAGATCGAATCTTTACCATCTAAAATAATAATAAATAAATGTCGAGAAAAATTGTAGAAATTAAAGATTAGTGAGTGAAAGATAGAGTACCTGAGAGATGAAGTGGCAAATGGGCAATGCACAAATGGAGGAATCAAAGTAGTGAGTTGGGAGCTTCGAGAGCTTCTCTCTCTCTCTCTCTCTCTCTCTCTAAACCTCTGACAATCTGAGACTCTCTCTCTAAACCTCTGGGAGTCTGAGACTCTCTCTCTCTATGTCTCAGATTACGACAAAACAGAGAGAGAGGCAGCTCTGTTTTATTTTGTTTTAGAGAGAGAGAGTGAGAGAGAGCTTTGAGGAGGTTTTGCTTTGCTTTGGGTGGCTTGCTTTATTCTTTCTTTTTCCCGCCGTAAGCTTACTGTCTCCGCTTCTCGTCGTATCTTTCAAGGTTTTATTTTACTATTTTACGGTTTCAACCTAATCAACCAAATATTCATTAAACCAAAATTAAAGAGAGAACAAATTGCCAAATTTAAACTAAACGACACAAATTATAATGATTGGTGATTAGTGTTTGGTGAATGCTCTCATTCTTAGTGATTAACTGTTGAATATGTGAAGCCGGTTAATAATGCGGAAAACAAACAACCCAACAAAATAATAGAAGCAAGGTTGACAAAGAGACAAAGAAACATACAACAACTAACGTGGTTCGACCATGTGTTTTGTCCACAGAGCAGCAATAATAGATCTCCACTATATCGACGGCGGGTAAAACAGATTTTATCAATCGAAAAGTTTACATATTTTAAGGCACATTTTACTTTTCAGAGTACTTTACTTTTATCCTAGCTCCTTAAACATAGTAATTAACTTCTGTTTTTAGCTCGTTGATACACGTAAGAGCGCAACAACAATCCTTGTGTATCAATTGGAATTTGATTAAGAGTATATGAGTTCTTCTTTTTTAACAAGGAACGGTATTGTATTGATAAAAGAGGATTACAGCTAAAAGAGAGTAAACAAACTCTGAGAATTAGGCAGATCATACTAAATATCAGAACTTGGTCATCGTACTGCTCTTGCAACGTACATTTCCCGATTCAAAAGTAATTGGGAAGGAACCAAATCCCTAATGGAACGCTTTCGGCCCAAGACCTAATCAAATTGGGAAAACAACTCCAATTAACAGCATGATTCGTTCCTCGAAAATTATTAGTGGTGATAAGCTTTGGGAAACTAATGGTGGACAAAACAACCCAACAACCTCACGGCAACATTAGTATTCGAGACATGCTTGACATAATCATGTTTTTAAGTTAATTATGATCTACTATGATACCAGCTTTGCATTCAACAAGAAACCCTATGTTATTTTCGTTTATGCGTATATATATTGCATAGAAATCCATCTCATAAATCTTCTTCTTTAAAATCACTACAAAACAGACAGTAATTTAATTAAATTCAGTGATATTGTTGATTATATTAGTCACACAAATCACATGCCTCTTTTTTAAATTACAAATGATATTATTATTTTAAACTACACAATGAGAGATAGAGGGTTTAAACCAGAAACAAAATGAGTTGAAGAGAAAAAAAAATTATCTATCATGCCAATTTACAGATAATTCAAGCATATTTATATACTTAAAAAACCAATGCACAACCGCCCAAATTTCAAGTCAGAAGTATTTTTAGGTCATTTTGACGTCACTTATTTAGTGACAAGTTTAACATCACAAAAAATAATTGATAAATTGATGTGTAGAATCTTTTGAAGGCCAAAACTTCAAGAATATAATATATTAAGGGTGTGCTATCCACATATCATTTTTTACTTCTCACACACCCCTTGTTAATTTATGTTCGTTGATCTTTTTTAATTCATTTGATCTGACGACCGGAAATAAAAAAAATGTGGGAGAAGTAAAAAGGGAAGTGTGGATATCACACCCCTATATTAAACTTAAAAAGATTATATTAAACTAAGGAAAACTAATGAAAATGGCTTGAAAACTTTGAGTTTTAACGATAAGGACAAAATAAAGGATAAAGTGAATAGTATCAGGATTGACTTTTTAGTGTAAAAATATGATTTTTCGTTAAAATAAACAGTACCGGAAGTTTTTCGTTAAAGTTTCCAAACTAAGGTTGACTGCTTGAGTTTAGTGGGTGATCAGAGTATAATTGAGAAATATTCTCTAAGATCAATAGGTAAGCTCACAATACAAGGGTTTGATGATCACCAATACCATAATTATTCCTAATAATCTAAATTAAGACATCAATCGTCAAATTGAACATCTAGTAAACTAATATGGACACATCAAAATTGCAAATCAGAAGGTCGATAATATCTAATAAAATTGGAAAAATTCTATATTTTTCTCATGGTAGATAAATATTATAAAATTCACTTTTCAATTCGGCGGAGCTCCATATAAATTATAAATAAAACAAAATGATTTTTAAGAATGAAGAGAAAGAAATGGGGAAGTTACAAATTAAAGAAGGAATCTTTCATGCAGTTTTCTGACCGCAACGTTTACGTATGGATCCGTGCATGCACATGCTTGAAACTTGAGCCACTGTCACACATAGTAGGATTCTCTCTATTCTTATTTTCATTACCTTTCATTTCCTCATCTCACAGTTTTTTTTTTTTTTTTTTTTTTTTTTTTTTTTGGTATTTCTATTTATTAAAATTAATACAAGATGTTAATGTAGCTCGATCTTAATAGTTTAAATAGGAGCGAAGGAAATGAAGAGAGATTAGGATGAAAAATAATCCTTCTCCCCATCACATATGTCCATTACGAAGGATGATGCTACGTAAATAATTTTTTTTGCTCACCACACTTGGTGATAGTATTTATCATTATTAAATAGTTTAACTGTTAAGATCTGTGTAGGGAATAAACATAAATTTTAACATTTAACCTCATTCAATAGAGATATATAAGATGGTGAACAAAAATACATCATTTTTAAAATCATATTTCATAAATTTTATGATACAGCTGGTGATAGTTAGATTATTTTTTAAAATCATTAAAAAATTCAAACCATCAAGGCATCAACCGTTCATGTAATTTTACAAAATATGATATAAAATATGACCACCCTTACATTCTCCTAGTAGGAGCGTATGAGGAGTTCAAGTTCTAGTAATCTTCTATTCCTACTTTCTAATTCTTCTTTTAATGTTGCACAATAATTTAAATTTGAAGTCTTTTAAAGATTGAATCTACTTGCAAGCGAGTGAGTGAAAGGCATGACAAGAGAGCGAGTTCGACTCGCAAACAATCGGCAAGTGATGGTAATCTATAGGTTTTAAAATAAAGAGATGAACCATGTTATTTAGTTGAACACAAAATTTTCATTTTCGGTAATCCAACAGCTAACGGTTTTTTGTTTAGTTGATTTTGTGCTACGTCAATTTTAAAAAATTAACTAAAGCGAATAATTTCTACCATAGTCTGATTTTGCATAATTGGAAACGGAATCAAGAAGATAGAACCAGAAAATTCGACTTAGTGG